GAGAGTGTTTTTTTACTTTTGAATATAATTTATGGGCCATTTGAAGAGACTGAAGAAAATTTGGCACTGAGCTAGACGACAAAATGTCGGGAGTCAACCATTACGAGGTCTGGTGGCAAGCGCCTATTTGAAATGTTGGATTTCATACGGTGTATATACTCTATTTACAACTTCAGGGCCGGTTAAAGATATGAAATCCGATCTGCTAAATCTTCATGCGGCAGTACACTTGAAAATGAACGCTTTTGAGACACCTACGGACCGAATATATTTGGCGATGTTCAGAAATCGAGGCCCCGGGCATTTCGAGGGTAATTACATGGCCGGCAGTTTCTTAAGCTAGATCGAACTCAAATGATGATAAAGAATACACATAGTCTCAGTTTGGTAGACACCAGGTGCAGAACTTGGGATACAGCCGACGTCTGTCATACGACGTGCATTGATGACTTTTGTTGCCCAAAACAAGGTCAAATGGTGGGTAAGCATAGATAATTTTCGACCGGAAATACTGCTAGTTTCTGGGGGTAGATAGTGACACTATTTTCCTTACCCTCCATTCATATTTTGGGAGAAATACCACCTAAATACCTGATATCCTCACCCAGAAACATTGCCAGTAACCCCACTGAAATATTACTTATGCCGACCCGTTATTCTATCCACTTTTCACTACCAACAAGTTCTCCATGCGTGCCGTGTCATCTTCCCTCTGAATTAGAATGGGATTGCTGTACGTATACTTAAATTGCCTAATTGAAGGTCTAATTTCACGAGGTTCAAATGATGCTTCATAATATCGGTCACATGATGGACGGGTATAGAACAGAAGATAGATTGTGCTGTAGGTATTTGACATCGAATTCATTGGATACAGACTATAAGTGTCGAGGAATGCACCATATAGATATGTTTAATATTGCCCCTATTGTCCGCCCGGTTGACATGGGTGCATGGAATATCACAGATTCGTGGCGTCGCAAGCGAAAGCGGACCTAATGGCTAGAAAGTACGAGTATCGATGGTTTCTAGAGCCTCTTTCGAGACTATAGGAGCTAACTCTGCTCTAAAATGCAATTTCAATCTTGGAACTTTTCTCTTTCGGTTGACTGCTGCATTTCTTTGGATTTTGGAGAGATATTGCTTTGTGCGCAATGTTCTGGGATCGGCTTCGCCGAAGAGCTTTTTCTGTCCTTCCAGCGCGCTCTGCATTAAATGCAATGCATCCTCATTTCTTCAGAATTGGGAATTAGAGATGGATAGAACCTTCATCGACTTCAGAGTATCGGGGTGGTCATCGCCAAGGATTTTTCTCCGTTTTTCTAATATCTCCTCACTCATCTGTAAAGCCTCTTGGTGTCTTCCTAGTAGTAAATTCGAGTGGGACAGGTATATCATCGCCCTCAGAGTCTTGGGGTTTTCGTCTCCAAGAGCCTTCCTTCGTTTCTCTACTACTTTCTCGTCCAACGTCAGAGCTTCCTGGTATCTACCAAGACATGAATAGGTCCCAGCCAGATTCTTCATCGCATCCAACGTACTGAGATGCTCTTCTCCAAGAACCTTCCTTGACTTCTCCAGGACCTCCTGGTTCAACATTAAAGCCTCCTTGTTTCTGCCTAGTTTCGAATAGGACCGGGCCAAGTTTGCCATTGTCCTTATAGTACGAGGATGTTCTTCACCAAGAGACTTCTTTCGCGCCTCTACTATAGTTTCGTATAAACCTACAGCTTCCCTATGTCTATCCAGATGTGAATAGCATCTTGCCAGGTTCTCTATCTTCTTGAGCGTATCGGGGTGCTCTTCCCCAAGTACCATCCTTGACTTCTCTAATACTTCCTGGTTCAACCGTAGAGCCTCCTCGTATCTTCCTAATTGCAAATAGGAGTAGGCAAGGTTTCCCATCGCACTCAGAGTACCAATGTTTGCTTCTCCTAGGGTATTCCTTCGCATCTTGACAACTATCTCGTCCAGTGACAAAGACTCTTCGTGTCTACCAAGATGTGAATAGGATATGGCCAGGCTCTTCATCGCATTCAGAGTATCAGGGTGGTCTACCCCGAGGACCTTCCTGATCTTGTCTACGACTTCCTGGTCCAATGCTAATGCCTCCTCATATCTCCCGAGGCTCGAATAGGACCTGGCCAAAGACTTCTTCGCCAGCAGAGTCATGTGATGGTCTTCTCCACGGATCCTCCTCAATTTTTCCGTCGCCTCCTCTCTGAGTCTGAGGCCTTCCTTCTGGTTTCCCGTCATGTTATATGACCGAGCCAAACCCTCTGTAGCCAACATCACGAAGTCTGACTCGTCTCCAAATAGCTCCGTCCATGCATCGAAACATCGCCTCATGTGGCTCGACGCAAGACGTCCCTCTCCTATTTTCAGCAATATGTAGCCGAATCCATAATGATCTCCGATCTCTGTTATAGCCTCCAGATCAATGCGACGCAGACAAGGTGCTAGCTGATTAAATAGGAGGTACTTGTCTTCTTCTTGAGTGATCGTAGAGCCGAGCAGCCGAACAACTAGTCTAGTAACAAGGTGACAACGGATGATCCCGTAAGCTGATTGCACGAAACCTTGAACAAGTACGTGGATGGTGTAGAACTTTTTCGCGTCCAGAGTTGACAATCGGATTAATGAATATCTTTCACACTCTTCAATCATATTGTCGAAGTCGAATGAGCTCCAGGATCCACTGGGACACACGATGCTCATCAGAACATTTGCGCATTCCAGAGTCTCGTCATGTGGAGGTAGACCTGCGGTGATTGGTACATGCTGAAATCGATTGTTTGCCCCATTTTCGATGATACTGCGGGGAACAGACCCAGACCCAAGATGTGATAATAGCTTTATCAAGTCCCTCGCTCCTGTTGAAAGCTTCTCCAAAGACATCTCAATTGTCGTGGCTACGGAGTAGGGATAGTCATGAGATAACTCGAATCTGCGCTCGAGTAGGTGCTTTCTACTGTTGATATATGTGTCTAGGTACGTGTCTAGACATTGTCTCATCAGGATATATGCAGCCGCATGGGATATTGCAAGTGGTAAACACCCTAGCTCCCGCACAATATACCCAGCCAGTTTTCGATTTACATTATTATCTTCATATCCAGCTGCAGTCAATAATAGGTTAATAGATTCGTCTAAAGGCAGGGAGTCGATTATGTGCGTAGATTTTGGAGCTAGAGTCTTGCGGAGATGATTTCGAGTGGTAATGATCACATGACCATGGCTACATCTCGGAAGGAACCGAGGTAGTTCGACCGATGGATCATCCACATTGTCCATAATAATTAGCCAGTTCTTCTTCTCCATGGCAAGCCAGAGCAAGACGTCCGTATATAGATCTGTTTGGGATTGAAGAAGAGTTTGTAAGTCGGTTTGTAATGTCTCTTCGGATGATGCGTCAAGAAAATATACAGGAGATCCTGGATACCTGAGATGGTTTAGTAAACTGCGAGTCGAACGAAGTGAAAGGAACCCACTGCCTCTCGAAATCTGCGGCAAATTTGAGTGATATCTGTGTCTTCCCTGAGCCACCGAGTCCCGTCAAAACTGTAAGAATAGGTATTTGGCGATGAGACGAGGTGCTATCGAAGTGAGTACGGCGCATTGCATCAAGGATATCATCTCTTCCTACAAATCCTTCGACGAGTGGAGGACGCGGTTTGAGAACGGCCTTAGGGGACTGCATATCTATAAACATATTATTACCACGAGTATATGTCCATCTAGAAACCACTCACTCTCAATGGGAGATTTCTCTGTTAACAGCAAGCGAATTTCTTCCAAGGTCATGGCATTCCGGATCCCTACGGCTTCCTGCACCCATACATTCGTCAATGAAGTCTGAAGCGTGCGGTCACCTACTGCGGCATTGAGAGCTTGATCGCTTAGCTGCTTCTTGTAACTAGCGATCTTCTCGGCTTTGATTCTCGACAAAGACGCTTCCTTTCCCAGCTGCTTCATTCTTTGCCAGTATCGCTCCAGTCCATCATTCTCCTCAAAGTTTTCTTGAGATTCCTCTTTCATATCGGTTGCGATTTTATTTAATATTCTGTATCTTCATGTTGGCATAGCTTGGAGAGTGGCCATATATCCCACACCTTTGATATCTATTCGCTTGATCTAATGCACCAACGTATCTTCCAGGTGCCTGCGCATACAAACCTAATAGAGAAACGACGCGCTGATTCTTTTCCTCCATAATTTCTGCTAGATCTCTCCACCTCTCCCGATTATCTTTGCATCTCTACATGAAACTCAGTATGAGACACCTGGATTTAGCAATATTTACTTTAATATTCTCCAACACTAATACCATTACGCCACATGTAGCCTTGAGGGGACCCCCGATAGTTGGTATCGTCTCTGATATCTCCTTTATACCCTTGAATGTGGTTATAGATGTATCTAAAGAGACGTCCAGAGTGCCAGATAGGACCGCTCTAGGCGCGGAGGAGTCGTCTGGACATCTGGCCACTACAAGGCCTGTACCTCCACTGGCTGTGGCCGAATGAGGTGAAAGGGAGCGATGGAGCCTCTTTTTAAGTCCCTTGAGCCTCTCCATGCTGTAAATTAGAGAGATAGGATGGAGGGGCAAAAAGTGAGGGGAGGAGACGGGCAAAGTTGCGTGCTCGATCGGGGTTTCTTGGCGGTGTCACTCTCCTACCCACTAAGTTGGCCAAATACGTCAAGTTTCCCCAGTTTAGGGGCCTCCGGCGTAGCTCTTGGGGTACCCCGTGGTATTCCTATTCTATTCTAGTCTTACAGTTCGATAAATCATGCTCAAATGTATTTATTATCCGGGCATTATTCCTGACCAGCTAAGGTCAGGTCTCGTTTCTCACAAGGGGTATCAACTGAATTGAAAAAAGCCTATTCAAGTCTTACAGGAACGCTCTTTCTGATTGGGCCTCTCGGCTGAATACCCTTTCCTCGGTGACTAATACCCTGATACCTAACTCGCACCCACAACTTTCGT